CTCCATTTTTCACTGAGTAATAATTTATTTTACTTTAATTGAGTTATATTAGCATGTGTAGTTACCCTATTTAGCCTAGAATAGCATGTCTACGTGTCTTTAATGCTTATCTGAACTCCGTGCAGCATGCTTAGTGGATTTCCTGCTTCTTCCTTGACTTGTACTTAGTCTAAATTGTATGGTTTCGTGTTATAACTGTTCTCCATTGTTTGAGCTGCGTATTTACTTTGGGACTACGGAACGGTATTCCGAGAGATCCCCCTGAAAATTTACTTTGGAACAACGGGACGGTATCCGAGGAGATCCCCCTGCACATTTACTTTTGGGACTCCGAAACGGTATTCCGAGAGATCCCCCTGCATATTTACTTTGGGACTACGGGCGGTATCCCGGGAGATCCCCTGCACATTTACTTTTGGGACTACAAGACGGTATCTCGGGAGATCCCCTGTTGTTATTTTTGTTCACAGTGCTAATATTTTCTGTGATTTCCTTCTTGTTAAATTTCAGTCTTTATTATACTGCGATATTTCTTTGTCTTATATATATATATATATATATATATATATATATATATATATATATATATATATATATATATATATATATATATACACCAGTGGGGACCTGACCTGGCCTCGTCACTACTCGACCGAGGTTAGGCTTGGCACTTACTGGGTACCGTTGTGGTGTATTCATGCTACTCTTCTGCACATATTTTCGTGTGCAGATCCAGGTACATCATTCCAGCCTCGCTATTAGTTGTGCATCTGCTGCTGTTACGGAGACTTCGAGGTACATCTGCCGCGTTCGCAAACCTAGGAGTACCCCCTCTATCTTTTGTGTAGTCCTTCCTCTATTACTTCTAAACACCGATGTATAGAACTTTTAGTAAATTCGTAGGAGCTTGTGACTTATGATGTTTCGAGTCTTGGGAGATTTTGTATGTGTTCTTTTTGGGAGTTGTTATTGTATATGCCGAGCAGCATTTCTCTAAATTACTTCTTTACTGTTGATGTTAGTGATTTAGATTTATGTTTTCAATTGCGTTGTTTTTCCGCAATATTAGGCTTACCTAGTCGCAGGGACTAGGTGCCGTCACGACATCTTACGAAGGGTAAATTAGGTCGTGAAATTAACTAAATTTTATTTAGCAAATAATTGAGGAAAAATCATAGCCTTTCAAACCCAACATGTAGTGTCGAAAGAGCTGAAATATATGAAAGGGTACTAGCTATACGTGAAAGAGCTGCAATATGTGAAAATCACAGTTATGGATTGTCCTCCGCCATTTATTAGCCCTTCTCTCTTTATGTTGATGAGAAATCTTAGTTTAGCCTCTTTCCAAATATTCGTTGGGTTCATTTATTTCTCTATGTGCTTGAAAATTATAAAATTTTGCTCATAGATTCCTTTTTCTAATTGAAATTTTTTGTATATTAATTTTTTTTATTATTATGGCAAAATTAAGTTTTCTTATATTGTCCGATATTGAATGCGTTATTATCCTTGAGGAGATATTGTGCCAACAATTTATTATTGTGTTTATATTNACGTAGAATAGGCATGTGATTAGGTACCGTATGAGTGTTCGACTTCCTAAGTTAAGAATGGATAGAAATTCCTTTCACACTTTAGTTCTCCTAAGGAAATTGGAGGTTTGACTGATAGTAAAAATATGTCAAGTAATAAAAAGTTAGCATTATTCTTAAATATCTTGGCTTATCACGAGAAGAATAGATCCATTAAGGTTGACTATGCTAGATCGGTTGGAGCGTAAGTCAAGCTTTCAATAAATGTTTGAGAATTGATCTCAAACTAGCTCCATTGTTACATGTTAATCCCAAACCAGTGCTTGAAGATGAGATTGAAGATCGATGAAGTAGTTAGGTTTAAGGTATGTAGTAAATTTCTATTTGAGCTATTACTTAATTTNACGAAAAGCAATTAATAGTTTGAGATAATATATAATTGATTTTATAGGGATGTCTAGGTGCACAAGATGGTACTTACATCCAAATTAGAGTTTCATCCGAGTACAAACCAAGATACAGGACTAGAAAGAGAGAAATAGCAACTAATGTACTGGGAGTTTGTGATACAAATCTTAATTTTACTTATGTATTACCTGGTTGGGAAGGATCAGCTGTCGATGGTCATGTATTACGAGATGCTATAGTGCGAACGAATGATTTGAAAACCTAAGGGTATGTCATACATATGCTTATACACTCAAATTATATCACAAAAAGAATGCTATATGAAATTTATATTATAGGAAATTATTCTTTGTGCGATGGAGGATATACAAATGGAAATGGTTTTCTTTCACATTAAAGAGGATTTAGATATTAGTTAAAAGATTGGCAAGGTGACAATCCGCCACCTCAATGTCGAGAAGAGCTTTTCAATATAAAGCATGCTAGGGCTCGTAATGTTATCGAAAGAGCATCTGGTCTCTTGATAGGGCGTTGGGAAGTTCTTAGAAGCTCTTCATGGTACTCAGTTAAGATTTATAACAGGATCATTAGTGCTTGTTGTTTAATGCACAACTTTATTCGTAAAGAGATGGAAGTGGATCCCTTAGACATTGATATGGAAGAACAAGTGGAGTATCAACATGACAACATTAATGTTGTTGAATCATCTGAAGAGTGGACCATATGGAGGGATGAGCTGGCTCAATAAATGTGGAATGCAAGTCTAAACAATTGATCATTTCAAATCGTTCCATGCTTATATTATATTTTATGGTGTTTGGGTATTTTTCTCTTTAGTATTTTTGTATGATTGTAAGGTATCAACATTCAGTTTTTTTTTTATTATAAGAAATAGTTACTTACTTTTTTTTTTGTAAATATAGCGTATGTTTAGTTAGCTTTTTTTTGTAATAGTTTTATACTTCCTGTTTAATATTTTTTTTTATGTGTAAAATGTATGAATTTTTATTTTTATGCTAAGTAATGTTAGAGATACTTATGATTCTTGTGATGATAGCTAATACTTATGATGATTTATTTCCCAAAATTATACAGATAAAATGAATAGCCAGGCAGAAAATTCAAAGCTATCGTCAAAAAGATCAAGAAAATCAACACCTTCTTCTCGAAGGATTTGGACTCCAGTAGAAGAAAGTGCTCTTATAGATGGTTTAAAAAAATTGTGTTTGGCGAGCCGATAATGGAACCTTTAGGCCAGGATACTTGATGGAATTAGAGCATTATTTGCATGATCGTCATCCTGGTAGTCAATTAAAAGTTTAACCACATGTCAATTTTAAAGTAAAAGTGTGGAAGAGATGTTATTCAAGCAAAAGTTTATTACAGAGTCGAAGTGGTATGGGATTTCAATATAGTGATGGATCCATAGTTGTTGAAGATCCAAAACATTTGGATGACTTTATAAAGGTAACTTATACTTTGTTTAAGTTATTAGAATATTGTTACTTCATATAGGAATTTTCCTGAGTCCGCATCATAGTTTATAACTGACACATATGTCATTGCTTTGTTTCTTTTCTTATTTTTTTTAGATTGATCCAAAATCAAAAAGCATGAATACTAAGAAATGCCAAATGTTTGAGGATTGGGAGAAATTTTTTGGCAATGATAGAGTGACGGGAGAGTTCGCAAAAGGGCCGCTAGATGCTGCTGAGGAGTCAAGCTTCAAGACTTTCTAATGACATGAGTTTAGGATTTCCTAATAATGTTGATGATGATGAAGAAGATGATGTTGGTGGTGGACCTAATATAGCTATTGGAGAAGCTGAAAATGCTTATGCTGGACCTAGTTTTACTGGAGCATTTGAAAAGGAAGATGCTAGAGCATCTGAAAATGAACATGCTGGATTCCAACAAAATCGTAAACAAAGTGAGCATGCTAAATATGTCCTCTTCTAATTTCAATGAAAAAGAGAAGCAAACAAAGAAAAAGGGTTGTGGAGAATTCTAATGAGACATTTCTTAAGGGTATGACGGAAGTTATGAAAAACTTTATTGAAAGTCAAGACACAAGAATGGGTGCCTTGATTGATAAGATTGGGGATCGTGACCGATTCAATATTCGTGGTAAAATTTATTCCATCCTTGAATCTCCCGCATTTGAGTTGTACTCCGTACAAGAACGTATCAAAGCTACAATGATTCTTTGTGAAGATGTCAAAAAGATGAAATTGTTTTTACGTATGGGTGAACTTGAACACCAAACAATGATGTTCATGATTGTCAATGGTAAACTTTGAAGTATGTTAAAGTTGTGTATATGTGGTGGCACTAGTTTAAGTTCCATGCACCAACAATGTATAAATTTCTTACACCAAAGTTGTTATTTCATGATGGATAGTCCCATTAAGTCCGCATTTTTCTTCCTTTCCCGTTCCTCGTTTCGTTGTTTTCTTTTTCTTTTTGTCTATTCAGTTTGTTGAATCATGTTATTTTGGCATATAGTAATCGGACTTATACTTTATGACATAACGCTTTCAGAATGCCTCCCATATAAATTCAAAAGAATAAAGTGAAAGAGTTTTTGTTCTAATACAGAACAACAAATGCTAACTTCAAGATCATAAAAATTGACAAAGGGTAAGAGAAAATGTATCATGAAAAGAAAAGAAAAAAAAAAACAAGAAAGATATTAGCAGATATATTTCAAAAAATTGAAAACTAGAGCCTCAAAAATTTATTTAATACTTGTTGATGTAAGAATTGAAAATTGACGTATCAAGAAGATGGAGGCATAATAAGATGGAGGGTATTTTTGAAAACAAACAACTTCTTTTTAGAAATTATGCAATACATGTTATTTTTAATACAACATACTAATACCACCATAACCTGTCTTCAAACCAAACGACCCCTTAAAATTCTGAATACCCCTATGCACATATTAACTGTGGTATAAGAACAATATCACAATTGTGAAATAAATAATCTCAAGATTATTATCCTTTATTCTTGTAACCAAACGAGCCCTTGGGTTCCTTTTTTAGCTTAGTGTGTGCACGAAACTCAAAGCAGTAAGGCGCGTGTACTCACTGTTTTCAAATTTCAAAAAGGCGCTTTCTTCTTTCTTCTCTCTGTCTCTCCACATTCGGCCCCTTCAACACCACTGCATTCTCGCCTCAGGTTTGATTTTTCCTGCTCTCCAAAATTCTATTTTTTATTTTGGGGTTGGCGATTTTATTCTCTACGGTTATTTTTCCCCCAATTTTACACATTTGTCTCGTTATGTAGTAATAGGCATAGGAAATCTATATATATATGTGCAATAGTATTCGTTGTTGTGAATTCATTTCTGAGGCTTTTTTTGTTGCTAAAAAGATGCCATTTTTATGAATGACATTGTACATCTTAAGGAAGTGAATACAGGATTTAAAAGTAGTGAACCCTCTTCATAATGTATATGAATCAATTAAAATTTTAATTTAATTTTTTTTAAGCATATGTATATAATCCGAGTTCGAGATAGTGGGTTGCATCCAATACTAATGCTACTCGAAACAAGGTTTTTTGTTTAGTGATTTGCTAATTGCTATTTTAGTATTTCAGCTTCTCAATCTTTTAATTCCCCCCCCCCCCCCCCCCCCAAAAAAAATATTCTTTCTTTTTAAACTAAAAAAAACGAAAGTTTCTTTATGTGAGGTTGAACTCAGTCTATGTGAGCTTCCAAAAGCATAGTCAATTATGAAAGTTGATGACAAATATAAAAGTAGTCAATTATGATGAATTTAATTTTCAATTAGTTTGGAATTGAGGCATAATTGATTGATTGATTTCTTTGTGTGGAGTAGAAGAGTGGACTATAGAGGAATTGACTGTTGTTTAACTATAGATCTGTTTGGTACTTTTTTGTACTAGCATTTACTAAAGGTGAGCAGGGTTATATGAGTTTTTCTCTTGTTTTATTTTGGCCATTTGCTGATAAAGAAGTCATCTAAATATTTCTGTTGGGATAGTATGATTCAAGAGTTTTTGCTTTCTGTTATAACATAGAGAACTTGTGTTAGAAGACCACTATTCGTCTTGAAAGACAAACTTTTGATAACTGGAATGAAACATGTTCAAATGGAGCGGGATGAATATAAAGGATATTGAGGCTCAGTGATTACTAGTTGTTGCTAGACGCTTCTTTTTGGTCACTTCTGGAGGCATTTAGATTTTATGTTAAAATTAAAGCTCCTGATTGGTCCATTGTGGTCAAAGGCGCGCTTAATGTGCGCTTAAGCCTAGAATCAAGGTGCAAAACACGTTGAGCACTCCACCTTGCTTAGCGGGCGTTTGTCATCAAGGCTCTAAGGCATTCTTCTCCTTGCCAATTAGCATAATCCAGAAGAGGCGACACTAAACAGTTGATGCTTCACTTTATCGTAATATTCAAAAAAAAATTCTTTATCCATATATTTGTTATTCATGCTTATAATTATTAGTCTTGGACTACATATATATATTTGTAGTTTTTCTTAATTTGTGCCTTTCTTCATTAAAGCCCTCATTTTATTTTCTCTTTGCGCGTAATGCTTAAAGGATATTAGAGTTTTTCTGCGCTTTTCGCCTTCGTTAATGCTGGATTGGTCAATTGTTGGGAATTTAGATCGTACTGCACTGCAAAGCCACTAGCTTAGAAATGTATTGGCAGTTTAAGGGTGTTATCCATGTATAACATTCTTGAAGAAAGTTTGAATGTATTGGTATTGGTAAACAGTGCAGTAACTAATCTTCCAGTTGGCAACAGTAATTTCTGCTTCCCATGATTGGTTGGTTATCTTTATGCAATTAGCAAATGACCTGTATTTAATATGATTTGCAGGTGAAAAAACGTTAGAGGTGTTTGTTTCACTTTTCAGCTCCAAATTGCATTACAGTAAATACTCTTTCTTCTTCTGATCAGGGAAGGTTTTTGAGTACTACAATCAATGGCAAATGAAAATGGCACAACTAGTTACGAGGAGGTCCGAAGGCAGAGGGTTCTGGACAATAAGAAACGATTCGAGGTAGTAATTTTGTTAAGGCAGAATATCTTTTACTTCTGTTGAGATGGTACTTTTGGGTGCTTCTTTGAAAGAGAAATTAAGTGATTGAAGGCTTACATGTGGATGATATACTAATATCAACTTTATGAAATATTAGGTGGTGTTTGGATTTGATTTGGTTTAAGTTTTCGAAAACAATTTTGGTGGAAAGTAGTATATGTGGATTAGTTTTTATGAACAATGATAAAAGATGTATGTGTTCATAAAACCTACCTTTTGTTGCCAACAAGAAATACTGATTGCCTTCTCTTTCTCTTATTATGTTGCTTTCTTCTTTGAAGGATCTGGGTATTTTGAGTATATCTAAAAACCTTTCTGATCTTGCAAAGTCTGAGAAGAAGTCCGACAAGAAATACGAGGTGACATGTTATGATTATTTTCCTTTCTATAAAGATTTAATGTGGCTCTAATATAAGCATGCATTAGCTGATATTATTTTCTTATCATGCATAGGTAACCCGAGTTAGACAAAAAGCAAACGATGTTTACATGTTGGAGCCAAGAAGGTCTGGACGGGATAGAAATCCTGTTCCATCATACCGCGATGATGTAAGATTTCATGCTTTTCTTTCAGTACACAGAACATTCTACATAGTGAATGATGCACCCTTCAGAATAAAGATAGTAATTGATAAGAATCCACCTAGACTTCTCTAATTGTATGCTCATGCCATTTTCGACATAATACTAGTTTAGATGTACACCTCTTCTCAGGGGCGGATGCACGTGGGCCCAAGCGGTGTCATGTGACACCGCTTCGTCGGAAAATTTAACTAATTTCGTTTATGGTAGAGGATATATAAAAAACAAATAAGATATAAAATAAGTAAAGTGACACCGCTTATCAGCGTCTAGCTCTCCTACTGGAGGTCGGGTGTTCGATTATGCTTGCATGAGTTCACTTTTTTGAGCATTTTTTGCTTCTAATAAAAATAGATGCTTCTGTTTGCACGGGTTCGAACTGCCGACCCTTGCTACAAAATATAATGAACAAGCCAGTAGACCAGACACAATAGATATTTAAGTCACAATAAGAATTATCTATTTGAATACTCGGTAAACTCCTTTACGATTTGCTATTTTTGAATGTGTTGGCTTGCTGCTACTCTACTTGGCTTTCCATCTCTCTTGTCATCTCCCCTACTTCTATGAGTCACCGTCTACCGATTAATTGTGACACTGCTTACAAAAAATCCTGCTTCTATGTAATCATATGCACAATATTGAATCTGGAAAGAGCATCAAGATTGTGATTATTATTATTGAGATTACATGAAATATTTAATCAAGTATATGGAAGCAATTCTTTACTTGATACGTGATCTTGTTACAAAGTTGTGGGATAATCTTATGGTTTGTCCGCTGTTTCTAATATGGGATCTATTTTGGGCTAAGAGTCTAGGAAATGGACTGCTTATGTTGCTAGTGAAAAATTTTCGTCTCAAAGATTTGTTTGCTAATTTTCTTCCTCTGGTTATCAGTTGTTTATTTTTCTCATTTGTTGCTAATCAATCATCACCTCAGATTGATATGGAACTTCCATCTTTTCGGAACAGATCAAGATTGAGTTCCTCATGGGCAAGGTGAGATGGTTAATTCTCAGCCTTGACACCATTGTTTTACGTCCCAGTTCTGGAATAATTGCTTTTGTGTTGGCAGTTATCTAGCAAGACCATTGGAAGAAGTAAAAATGGCTTCATGTCAAGCAAGAGCGCAAGCTATCAAAAGTGCAGAAAAGCTCCAGAGCAATCTACAGTCTGCAAATCCATCTTTTATCAAGTCTATGGTCCGATCTCACGTCTACAGTTGTTTCTGGCTGGTAAGTTGCCATAGACTCTAGCTACAAAAGCCAGGATACATGGAGGAAACAACAAGGGCTTTTTTCATTTTTGGCCTATCGGCTCGAACTAATTACAGACACTAGCCCAAATATACAAAAAAACATATACACGGATATTATATGTACATTCATTTGACATACAAAGCATATACATGTTGCCGGCTATAGTTTTGGAGAGCATCCCAATAAGGTAATTCCCAATGAAATTTTTTTTAGTAAAATCTTGCTAGATTCGCATGGTCTATCCTTTCTGTAAAATTCTTATTTATGATAAATAGATTGCTTATGAAATGAGATGACATTGAGCTTTCATCAACATATAACTATGTTTTCACTAAGCATGCTATGATATCAGGGACTTCCTACTAGATTTTGTGAAGACCATCTTCCCAAATCCACCGTAAATGTTCTGTTAGTGGATGAGGAAGGTTCAGAGTATGAAGCTCTCTTTATTGGCAAAAGAACTGGACTAAGCGGAGGATGGAGAGCATTTGCGCTAGATCATAAGCTGGATGATGGGGATGCTCTAGTATTTGAATTGGTTGAGGCAACAAAATTCAAGGTTGGATTTTAGTATGCAATCCTTTTGTCCATGAAATAAGCTGACTTTGAATATAGTCATATGATATAGTTCAAATTCGAAGGGGAGCCTTGGCGTAACTGGTAAAGTTGCTACCATGGAACACCCCCCCTTGCAGAAATGCAGGGCAAGGTCGCGTACAATAGAACCTTGTGGTCCGGCCCTTCCCCGGACCCCGTGCATTGCGGGAGCCTAGTGTACCAGGCTGCCCTTTGATATAGTTCAAATTCAATGCATTACTAACTTTCTCATTTTTGAGATTCACAGGTGTACATAGTTCGAACATCCCATTGTTCAAGTAGAGAGGATAAATCTGGTGCGGAAAAAGGAGAGAATGAAGCTGAAGAAACATCAAAGAGTGTGACAAAGAAAAGAAAGAAAAGTAGCAAGCAATCAGAAGTTCCAACGGTAGCTAAAGAAGAGATTTCTGTGGCGGCTTCAGCCACGAGGCGCAGTACTAGAAGAAAGTAAATCATGTAAAGAAGCATCATTTTGTAGGCATGTCAAAAATTAAACCTTTGTTGGGGTAAGCATATGAAGTTTACTGAAACAATATGCAGGACATGTTCAAATTTTCGGTGGTAAATTGCATTTACCACAAACTAATTAGACACCTGCCCTGAAAACTCTTGATGTTGGCACCAATGGTATGTAAATGTAACTCGCTGTTCAAACAACTATTCGGAGTTCCTAGAGCCTCCTCGTAAGGCTTACGAAAGAAATACAACTGCAGCTCTTTTGCACAAATTTTACTAGCTTTTCAAGGTTAAGTGATTCATACTTAATAGTGCTCGGACGCAACTTATGTTGTTACTATTGTAAGATCATTTTCATTGTTTTGTTATTATGTGAGTAATCTGGCCATATGGTCTTGTGTCAGATCATCTCCAATAGATGATTGATAGAATTTCTCCCAATTCTTGTCCACCATTAGCAGCCTTTTAAGGTTGCTTTGCATGCTTTGGATCATATTAGGCGGTTTGTTAGTTTGAAGTTTGAAGCCTTGAACTAGATGAATTTGGCTGATTATGCAATATGTTACTACTGCCTCACCATCTGTATAGATCAATTGGCTCACATTCTACATTTTCACTCCCATGTTGGACTAGGGATTATGTTGCTCGGCTACGACTGTGGGTATCCAAATACGAGTGTAGATCTAGCGGTCGGATTCATTATCACATAAATGTTACTCCGTATCTATGGTACAAATCGACACATGTTTTGGGGTTGAAAAATAACATATTCCTCCGTTCAGTTTATGTGAACCTATTTCTTTTTAGTCCATTCCAAAAAGAATGATCTCTTTATAAATTTGAAAATATTTTAACTTGAACTTTCAATTTTAGCCTCAATGACAAGCTTTTATAGTCACACAATTACTATAACATATTTACGGCCACAAATTTTTATTGAATTATAAGCACACAAATGTTATGGCTTGTTTAGAACCACAAGTTTCAACAATCTTCATTTCTTTCTTAAACGTTGTGCTCAGTCAAATATGTTCACATGTATTCAAGTAGATAGAGTATTTTAAGTCAACAATGTCATTTAACTTGATTGATATATAATAAATTAAATGGTCGATGATTATTATGTAATTATGGCTCGAGTTCTACTCAGCTTCATTAACGGGTTTTGGGATACCGTTTGCATATTTGTTGGATTGCCCTTTTATTTCTCAGTTATTCTTTGCAAATGAGAGCCACTTTCAAATGACTAAATTCCGCTTGCATTTTTATTGCAAAGACTCATATTTAATTGTCATTCCGATTTTTTTTTCCCTTAGACCTGATGCGTTCCAAGAAACTTATGATTACTGTCATTCCCTTGATATTCTTCTTACCTGAAAATCTGGAAAAACTTAGGAACCTTCCTTGATGTGATAATTGAGAAAAGTTAATCTCTAAAGAATTGATGAGAAAGCTTATGCAAAATGTGCAGGCTTAATTTGGCTGGTAAACTTACAACTCTTATGTATCAACTCACCATACACAAAATCCTAAGTACTGTTCATTGTTGGAATGACATGAATTTCCGAAAACACCATCTTATTGTATTTGCACTAAAACTACTGAATTTCTGAAGTATTTATTTTCTATATTGTTGTCACTTGCATTCTTGCTTTCGCTTGAAGCCGAAGGTCTATCATAAAAGTACCCTCCCAGGACTCCTATTTCCAGGATTACATTGAAGTTGTAACCTTTTCGGGTGTTTGTGCACCTAGGTGGCACAGAATGATAATTTTTTCTAGGAATGATCTCCCAGAACTAAGAAGCGATTTACGCTGCTTCAACAATTCATCAAAAATAATGTAGGAGGAATTATGAAATAGCTCCCAGAAGAAACAAAGTAAACAGCGGAGGAAATAATATATGTAAAAACCAAATAAAAGCAAGCCAATCTTTATCAGTAAACTAAAATGTTCAAAGCAGTAACAACTCAAGTAATGGTTCATAGGTAGATCGATGATCAGGACACAAAATTTCATTCAACAGAAGTAGAAAACTACTGGTTCAGTTTGGTAAATTCTGCAAACTTCAATTCCCTACTGCTTCCAAAAAAGCTCTTCCAGGTTGACGTGCAGCAAGTCGACCATGGCAACCAAGAAGCTGCAAAAGCATAGAAAAGCAATAAGTTTTCACATACCACCATGGGAAACAAGATCCAACTCTTGTACTGTGTAAACAATAGACTATGAACAAAACATACCTTGGCATTGACACCATCTGGAACAATACGATTCTCTGACTTGTATTTCAGATAATCAGTACGGCTGAACTTAGTGAACCCCCTGCAATCAAAGAAAAAGAACTGTGATGCAAGCACAACTTCTATCCAGTGGAGCACCTTGGAAACTAACAATGATTAATCATGTAGTTTTCTTAAAAGAAAGAAAAATAGTATGCGAACACTTTTGACACCTTAGCACTCAATGATGCTGCAGTACGAGCCTATACAACAGATCCTGTTCTAGTGAGGCCGCAAGTAAAAATGCTAAGTATATTGACATTAAAAGAAGTAGAGCAAGCCAGGTTTCAAGGCACTTAACAAGTATTGGAAGGAAGCAGACCCCTAGGAGTTTATCTCCTATTAACGATGTTAAAAAATAGAGACCAAACTTTGTGATCTCTCTAGTATGAGCTTCTGTGTGATATGAGGTTAGTACATGTTGATCCTTAAAACCTCTATGACTGTTATAATAAAAGAATAGCACCATGACATGCCTATCCTTCATAAATCAATCATGTTTAGTACGGGAAGATATAAAGTGCTAAAAACCAGTGTAGTGACAAAAATTAAAGTGATGCTTTAGATAAAAGTCTTACCACTTCCTGCTGACGATGATCTTTTGTCGGCCAGGGAACTTAAACTTTGCACGGCGCAGTGCCTCTTGAGCATGGTTAGCATTACCATCTTTGCAACGAACAGAGAGAAGAACCTGACCAATAGCAACACGAGCACAGACTCCCTGTGGCTTACCAAAAGCTCCCCTCATACCAGTTTGGAGCCTATCAGCCCCAGCACATGACAACATCTTGTTAATTCGCAAAACATGGAAGGGATGGACCCTAACCCTGAGGTGGAAAGCATCCTTTCCAGCGGACTTGGTCATGTACTTGTTGCACGCAATACGAGCAGCTTCAAGTGCCTCACTTGAAACATTCTCCTTCTCCCAACTGACCAAGTGCACACAGAAAGGAAATTCATCAACTCCCTTTTTCTTCATACCCACATCATAGATCCTGATCTTTGGATCTGGCACACCACGGCAAAACCGTGATTTTGGGTAAGGCTTGTTCTTAATTTGGCGATAACATCTTGCAGGTCCTAAGAAAAAAATCCAAACCAGTTACATATGTTTTGAATGACTCGCACAACTACAAGTAACAGGGATAGGGTCAACTAATTGTTGTATAAAACAATAGTAATACCAATAAGGAGTCTGCATCAACAATGCACTCATAACTCCATATTAGTTTAAAGTCCCCTTATCACCAAAAGGAAAGAGAAATAGTGTAGAACACCTTGTCAGCAAAATTAAGGAGTGCGCTTTCACTCATTAAGATTAGCAAAAAATAGTGGTCACTGCTTGTCATACTTAAGATGTTCTGCTTCATACACAAAATTTAATGCTTCTTAGATACATTTTTTATCACCAACTTTATTGTTTACATTGATTAAACAATTCATCAGACAAACAATACAACTACTACTGGATCCCAACTATCTCTAGCCCTATATGAGTCCCATTATCCATTCCGCTACATCTGATTCAGTGAGAAAACCCCAATAATAACTCGTCTTATGGATAAATTAGGGTTCTCAAACGCTATAAGTTCTCTACATTTACTATGAACAGATGAACAAAAAGCAGAATAATGGAAAATCAAATGAAAGCCTCAACCGATTACCATCTCAAATCACCTCTAATATATCACTTCAGAAATAATAATTTGTCTTGCCGAAAAATTAGGGTTCTCTAGCACTATATGTTTTCTACATTTACTCGAGACAAATGCACAAAAGACAAAATAAAAACAAAAACAATCAAATGAATGCTAAAAACACATCTAATAATATCATTTCATCAATATATCCTAAAAATAACACAAAAGCTACGAACAAAAACATATAGATCCAACAAGTTTTTGGGCAAATTGAAACAATAATAGCTAAATGAATAAGAATATGACAATTAACGTAAAAAATAGAGAGATTTGGGAGCAAAGAGCTTACTTCTCCCCATGGCTAATTCTCTCTGCGATTGGTCTGCGGCTTGAGGAACACGGTTATGAGAAAACCCTAGGGTTTACGTTCTTTATGTAGGAGTTGGTAACAGGTGAATGAATTGATTGGGCCTTATGGGCTTACGTCTGGGCTTACGTCTGGGCATGCGTCAGGTAAAATGGTTGGTGGGCCGATATATGCTGAACTTACTTCATGCCCAAAAATTGACCCATTCAGCATACACAATATTTTGAGAAATATATAATTTTAGCCTTTCCCAAAAATAATAGCAACAAAAATATATTTTTATATATATGTATATTATATACAAAAGATAGTTATATTCTCAGCTAATGAATGCAATTAATTTCAGCCGATTGGCTAGTTTTATATTTTTCCCCAATTTTTTGAGGATATTTTGACAAATAGCCACTTTTATGGTTGCTGATGGAATAATCGGTCATTGTTTCTAAATAAATTAAAATAAATTTATTCTTCAATAAGTAAATAATATTTGAATAATAATACTTCTCCACATATCAACGGCACACAGCAGCTTCTTCTCCAAAAAGCGATTCTTTTTCTCCTTCTCTTCCTCCTTCCCAAGTTTTACTAGTAGAAATTGAAACTCACGAGTAAACTCTAAAGGTACCTGATAAAATAGGGATAATTTAGATAATTTCAATCTAAAAACATATAAAGGACATTATAATAGGATAATTTTATGGGTGTTATGGTACTTATATAAAACTGAAATTCTAGGTGGATTCGAACTTACGGAAGTGAAATTTTAGAACAATATATTGATGTTCAAATGGTTGAGAAATTCAATCTTCTTCCCTGCGCTTCTACAAACAATAAAAAGAGAAGAACAATAGAAATAACTTATTTACTTTTACGAGTTTGAAAATCTATCAGTCATCCGCAGACATATTAAAGTAAATAAAGAGCAAAATGCACAAAAATAGTAATTAAATACTGATCCAGAAACCAATCACCTAAGGGTGTGTTTG